ATGCAGCCCCGACCTCGAAGAAATCCGGCTTGCTCTTCACGAATCTGGATCACGAGGATCAGTCAATCTGTGGAGAACGACCGAGGAAAGCAATTTAGAGGCAGTTGAGATCAGATTGATCTTTTTATGGTTAGCGCATTCCGAACGGGAGCCTCCCGTGAAAATAGGCACTATGACGGAGCGACTCCAGGCTATCGGGAAAGTTTCCTGCTCCCAAAATTCCAACAACAACTCGTGTGAAGCATCTACAAGAGCAGGTCCCCCGAATTTGTAGAGCTGGGGGAATTCTATCTGCCCCTGCGACCTTATGCAATTTTAACAACCTGATCTCACGTTCGACTTCTGCGTATGAGGGCGGATCTGAAGAGACGGCCCATGGAGAAGGGCAATCAATGTCCGAAAGAGAAAGGGATGACTGAGACAGGTTAAACTGCCTTGCAAATTGTTCAGCCCAACGCTCCAAGCGTTTTGAAAAGCTGTGGACCGTCAGTCCACTGTTGTCGCGTATCCTCTCGGTAATACTAGGTCTGCTGCTGTCTGTTCCCCGTATCAGACGGAATAACTTACGGTGAGTACCAACGGATTTATCTGTTTCCATCTCCGCGACACGATGAGACCATCAGGTTTTGTGGTCTTTCTTCAGGCTAGCACGTAGTTTTCTTCTGAGATTTTTGCGAGCCTCATTGTATTCGCTTCCAGCCGGAATACGTCGGCGAGCACCCATAAGTCCCAGAGACTGTGTAGAGACCCAATGTCCAGGTTGGCAATTTGCTTTGCCACATGAAGACATGCCTGCTGATGGTAACGTTTGACGTATATGCAACCAGTGATTTTCGACAGTGTTCAGTGGGTGCCCGGATGTCAGCGCACTTTGATACACATTCAGAACTGATGTCAATCCGTTCATATCGACGTTGCGGACATCCACCGAAACGTACCCGGAGGTCGGTGCAGGCTAGTGCGTGGTCAGAGTCCACGCTCTTGCTCCAAATCGAGCGACAATTTTGGACACAGCTTCTCCAGCGGTAACTGATCGCAATATGACCGATTTGAGTCCATGACTGGCCAGAGGCTGGTGGGCGCCAAGTCATTCTTCTGCGGGTGTTATCTCGAAAGTTTGTGCTCGCGAGAAAGAGACGAGTGTCTTCACACAGCTGTAACAATCGCTCACCGTTATCATTACGAGAGCCTACACCATGTCGGCCGCCCAGATGAAGCTCATCAGAGGACAATTTTCCGACTTGGGCGTTTAGATCGCCAGCCAACACCACAGTATTCGTGCTTCTTCTGTAAGGAAAAAGATTGTTAAATTGGTGATAGAAATCATCTTTCACGAATCAGGGCTGACGTTTGTGAGTGAATAGGCCGCAATGACAAACAGGCACCGTTTGCGCCCGGGTGACTTTGAAGCCTGGAACGAGCCAGCCAAGTTAACGGCACATATCCGGCTGTTGACACGGATCCAGTTGATCAGGGCAGCTTCAACCCGGGGACTCAAAACAATGCCGACCCAGCTTGACCGGCAGTTGAAGCTGCGTCATCGCCAGACAGGCGCAATGAGAAGGTGTCGCCAGTGTCGGATGTGAAGGATGGGAGGGTAAGCACGGAGCTCAAATCTTGCGGGCGGGTTTCCGACAAATAGCAAATATTGATCAAGAGGGTCTCTAGTGTGCGGGGAAGTGCTGCCCGTTGGCCAATCTGTGGTAGAGTGCGTCATCCTCACTCCAAGCACCAACCTGGAGGGCCAGGAGACAGAGCTTGTCTGGTCTCTAGCTGTTGACCAATCCGGTATGAGTGTCTTTGTATGTGCAAAAAAACACCATTCAGAGTAGCTCAAAGGATCGTAGGAGGCAGTCAGACCATCACACCAGGTTAAGGGCCAGTCTCATAAAGATGGAGGCATGGAGACACCTTACGAGCGAAATGTTGGAGAATAGACGGGCGGGTGCTCGGAAGACTAGGGAAAACGATGGTGATGGAGCTCTTACACGAATAAAGCCCCCAAGATAGAAGATCGTGGGAGACCGTTGTATGATATACCGCTAACCGAGCAGTTGATATGAGTGCACCCAAATGATTGCATGCTTCCATTCAATGTAGCATGATGAAGTACGCAAGCGACCACAGAAGTCTTAACCTCAATTTTACAGGGACAGAGATAGAGGTTGTCAAGAAACCCACCAAAAGACCAGGCAAGGTTGGTGTGTATCGCTTTCATGGACACGGCAGTTGGGATCGACCAGGTTAGAGGGTCGAGTCCGGGTTATAGCACAATCGAGAAGTAAAAGGCAATCTTGCACTCGTTTCATAATTTATGGCATTTAATTTCTTAATCTTAGAATTTCAGGTCCTACCCATCTCATGGTTTTTGTATGATTAAGCGTACTAGTTTGACGAGCAGGATTAAGACAACTGCAACCTCACGCCTTACTGATCATAATTGGTAAACCGAAATGGAGTCACTGGAAGTTAAGGAGACGTAAAGATAAAGAAGACGATTATTGTGATGGGGGCGTTCAATGGGATTGAACGGTGACGCAATGAACGAGCGAATGGTTGGAGAACCCGGTGAATTCGGCAACTGGACGCAGCCGACGGGAACACACATCTGCGTGGTTCCGTTAATCGGAGACAAGCAGGAGTGTCACAGTGAACTCGTTGGTTTAACTGAACCAAAGGAGGAACTTTCCCGGCCCCCAAACACCACTGTGATCGGAAAGGCTACAATGACATCGTGGCGTAAATAGAGTCAGACGTGCTTACATTTTTGCCGGTTTGTCATATGAAGTGCTTGTTGCTGAAGGAACAACTAGTGTGGCAATCATAACGCTGGAAGACGCTGTAGTTGGTGAAAGAGTACATTGTGCAACATGTTTCTGGTATGATAGATTTCACAACTGTTTTTAGATGAACTTTTAAGGCTGACTGCAAACCTGAAATTCGTTTTGCTCTACATATCCTAGTTCATAAGCATGTTGCGATTTTACACAATTATGAAATGCTACATCAATGTATTCCAGCTTCAAATATGACCATGGCTCACTCCAGTAGACACAAATGTGCAAATGAACCCGATGCATCTTGTTGCGACGAAGCCCCTGTTATACACCAGTTTATCTAAAGAGAAATATCACTTCGTTTGTGAAACCTATCTATACCTTGGTAACCAAGACAAAAATGGGCACCTCGCATTGTGGACCAACGTTGTGAAGAAATGATTCGTGACCGGAGAAAAGCAAAGGTGTGCCATTTGTAGTTCCCGTGGTTGGGCTAGAAACTACTTCTATTCTACATTGTTAATACAAAAGGTATTTAGCAAAAAAACCGGCATAACATCTAATATCCTAGTATTTACTTTGTAAATCGACTCATTCCACACTTTGAGAAGCTTCCAAGTAAAACATTTAGAGGCTTTTCTTCATAAATGATGCAGTTACTGAGTGCGAACATGAGGCTACGTTGAGTTGGTTGTAACTTAGACTGTGCAATAGATACTGAACTGTCAACAGAATCCCAAAAATTGAATGAGCTATTTCGAGATCTGGGGTTTTGCAATAGAGAGGCCGAACTACTAGCTCCTACGCCACGTGGAAAATCTGCTTAACTACAGAGAAAAAGTTCCCTCTTTTCGAAAACGTGAAGCGGGTTACCTGGTCTCTTTTTCAGAAGACAAGCAGTTTGCTTTTCGCCATTATATCCCAGAGATGTTATTCCAATTGAGGACTGCTTCGTATGATCCATCGGTGTGCAGTTGTTAGGTGGGCTGCCTCCAAATGAATGCATCCCTTTGTTGGCACGTATGTTCATTAAGTACAAGCATTATTTGTTCCATTTCAGCCCGTCACTGATCCTCTCCTGGATTGTGACGCTCTTTCCTTTACGATGTACTACGTATAACCTCTTCGAATTTTTTTACCCGGATATATATATATATATATATATATATATATATATATATAATCCATCGGTGCCAGTTTGTCTCCTCACTTCCTGTGTGTTGATTGAAGAAAACTAATAACATAACAGGTGTGGTGGAGAATTCGCCTCAAAGAGGAATGTGTGGCAGTCAGTTGTAGCAGTTACACGTAACCTTCTTGAGAACAACATATCGGGTAATTGCGATGTTAACGGCAGAAAAATCAAAGCGGTCATACGCCCTTAGGCTCACGTGACTTGTTCCGAGGAAAACGCAATCACTAGCCTCACCAGGGAAGGGTTAGCGTGGTCACGAAATCCGTTTGCTTGCACAGATTTGGTTTCAGCCGCCGAATCCCTGACGCCTTTGCAAACTGAAGTAAACGGGGAGTAGCCTTCGACCGCTTTGAATATTTTGCCTTTAACATTGCACTTTGTCTGCTAAATAGCCGGTGTATTCCACTAATCGGATAATTATTCGAAACTGTTTAACGGAATGTTATTGGTGTTTCGCTATCTTGGATGCAATACGAACGTCAAACTACATTTCTCGAACCGTCATGTTGATCAATTGCCCATAAAGCTTGGGGTAGTATGTGACGAGCTTGAAGGACGTTACATCAAGATTCGAGGACGATGGAAGAACGTCATCAGAGAAGATGGAACAAACACATGATAGCCGACTGTTATTGGAGCACCAAACGTGACTGCGCTAAAAAAAAGTATCCGTACAAACTCCTGCGCAACTAACGCTTGTAATGCATTCAGTTTTGTGCTTATGTCATGCCTAAGCAAACTTTTGAGTGGAGGATATATGTTGTATTAATCAAAAGATTTAAGATACATCGGGTCACCTTGAGAACCTTCTTAAAACTCCCTATAGTTGACTTACAAAAAGTCTGTCTAACAGAGAAAAACAAGTGTCAGCTTTGAATTACGCGTGCTCAAAGTATATAAGAACCGTTGTTCGTTTATACGCAACCTACATGTCCTTGTGTAGTGTTTGCTTGTGTCGGAAAAATGAATAAAACGGAAAACAACTAATGAAGCGATTAGATGAGATACAGGAATAACGAAGAACTGACCTGTACTTGTCCGACAAAGAAACAGGAGGAGCAACAGCTGACGGGTTCAAGTTGGTGAACAATCGAACAACGGAATTGCGTCTCCGGCCTCCATTCGGGAGTCCCACATCACCACAGTCAAATCGAGCGTGGTTTGCATACGTCACCTTGTGGAATGGAATAATGGCGAGGTTATTCAAGAAGATGAATACAAATATGTGAGATAGAAATAGCCTACTTGTCAACTGCCGAACCGTCGTATTGTAAGCACATGAGACTCTAATAAAACTAGTGCGCAGAATGTCTCCAGCATTCTGGTACTGAATGACTGGGTGTTATTTATCGATCCAATGGGTGCGTCTGTCTGCAGTAAGCTCATAGTTGAGCTATATTAAGCTAGCTTCAAGACTCATGATTTTGACACATCAGAGTGACGTCATATTTCTATAGACAAATACAAGCGGCATGCCACAGTGTCAAAGGGAACCGCGTGCGTACAAACAGTGTATACGAAAATACATGAACCGCGAAGGGTGAGGATAATGTACCAGGTGAAACGTGCGAGGGAAGAGTAAGCAAATGTAGCTAAAAAAAGAAACATGTTTACTAAACCGTGCGAACGCATTGGGGAAGTGGGCTCACAATGGTGGTGAACACCCATAAGTCACAGGTTTGAACGAAGGTATCCGCAGCACACTCGTACGTAATACTGACGCCTAACGGCCATACAACCGTGCGCGTTATATGTGGGCTGAGATGCAGGGGCGCGTTACTGAAACCGATGCAGCCACAGGCGCATCAATGAGTAGGTCAAGCAAGTATGGCGGTCTCAGTTGCGATGAATCGAGTAGTAACAGCTAAGAAATATAAACCGATGAGAGAAGGAACAAAAACCATGAGAAACCTCGCAGTTAACATCAAATGGTGGAGCGCGACAGCAGCGCCGATTTCGCCGCCTGCATGCACTACCGTAGCCGCTCCTATGTTATGGGTAAGAAAAAAGACCACGCGTCGGTAGTGAATGAAGAATTTCTTTCAAATAAACTCTCTTTATACTTGTGTCTGTCTAACCCGAAGGGATATCTAAGCTGCGAGTGCGACGTTGGAGTTGTGAAATACGACGTTTATTTCGACAAGTGAACCGACATCAAGTGCTGAAGTCTGTATATTGAATAAGGCAGCGCGAACTGATCAATCTGTTACATGTGACTGCACCACTTGGTAGCTATCACAGTTGCTAGTATCATTAGGCGATGAACGAGGCAACCTTCACTGCTTGGTACCGAAGGGGCCAGCGAGCGACGTGAGTTACTTCGACACGCCGACGTTCTGGCACGGGTGGACTACATGGGTCTGAACAAAGTGACAGTAACATCAACAGCCTTGACGATACTACCGTCACATGTGTTGACGAAGTAATTAGTGCACCGATGGGCGTATGCACCAGATTGGTGAAACGATGACGTGTCATATTGCAAAGCGCTATAAACACTGCAAGAAAGTTATTAGATACAGCTTTACTGATAACAAATGTACGCTGACTCCACTTAATGCCCCAACGTTGTGATTTGTGCATGTGGTGCAGAACAACAGTGATGACTAGTTATCTGTTCCTGTCGCTATTGAGGACACAAGATCAGCAGGAATTGGACTAAATGGGCTACAGCGAGAAGGTCTTGTGGTGAAAGGATGCGGAGAAGCATTACTTGTCACAAACACACCAATGTCGCATGGAGAGCTACATCGCCGCTGCAACCTAACACAAACTGTGTCTAGTCATGTATGGCTAAGCGGCAACAGAGGAAAAGAAAGTGGTCCCTTGACAGGTTTCTAATCCAATGTGTCAAAAGCAGGTAGCGTTCTTCGGACAGTGTTTTTCTTGCTTTTTACTTAGTAATGCCTAACGAATTGTAAGGCGGGCACCGCTGGTTCATTTTGTCCGTATGTATTGACAAATAGGAATTCGATGAGATGAAAGAATATCGATCTCTTTTAGTAATATAGGAAGTAACGACCGAAATGGACGGAAATAAGCATCTCACGTAGGACTCCAAACTGCGATCAGTAAAGCGTGAAAAGACGATGATGAAAATAGCACGAACATCACCACTCGCTGTAAGTGAAGGGTTGATTCACTGTGTGGATAGTAGACATCAAGCGAGATTTAGCGCCACAATGCAGGTGAGCGATCAGAATTGAAGAGTAAAATGATGGACCAACACATGTAACAAAAACAGGAAGACAACTTTGTGGCCGGAGGTGAAGCAAAGGACGAAGATAGGCGCAAGATATTGTATAGATATGCTAAAAAAGAAGCGCCTGTATCAAAGCGTTCCCCAGTGATGAAGTGCCAGGTTGCCAGTCGCGATGAAAACAAGAGGGAGGATCCCAAGGCAACTGCATTCCGCTTCGAGAGAATCATCAGACAGTTGTAAGCGCTTATCTCTCGAAACACAGATGCAATAACACACACAAACCGAAATCCAATGCATGAGAGAATAACTCCTAGTTGGTTAAGTTTGCATCATGTGGGCGTCGATGCCAACGCGACTGTCCGATACGAACGGGTCCGACTAAGTGAATGGTAGCCACACAATAGACAAAGAGCCAGTGGGATAAGTTGGTTGGAAATTCTAGCTGGAGAAAAAGTTGCAGATTTGCTAAACTGAAATTCGGTTGCGCCATCAAGCTAACTCCGCAAAATTCAGGCTGATAATGCTTAATGTCACGCAAAGTGAGGTGTCACAACCAATACGTAAAAGTTATGGCACCAGTGCAGATTATGCTGAGCAGGTCGGTTGAAAATAATGACGAATCAGACAATGGTCCAAAGATCCACAGCAACTGTTCCAGCCGTCTGCGCTGCCTATAATAATACAAAAATGTCCTCCTTAAGTGGTGGAGGTCAAAAATACTGATAATGTTACAACAACGATGGAGATCTGCAGTGCCCTTGAGTTGCCTGAATGTCCGATTAACATAAGCACACAGCCTTGCAACGCAACAGAGATCCGAACACAAATGAAGTGACCTTCTGATCTGGAGTAGGAACGATTAGGCTGTACGGGTCACTGTCTTCTAAAGTGCGCCCTTGTCGGCTAGTAGCCAACCCCACTTGAAAAAAATGGATCAGGTGAATCCATTTGTAAGCACATACCGAGCAGTTGGATTGGAAAATAACATCGGACTGCCCTGACAAAGTAGTCCGGTGATCAAAGATACAGTATCTGATCAATTCGAATCAACGCCTCGTGTGGCTATGAATGATCAATTCAACTAACTGTTCGAAAGAGCTAAGTCTCATCACTATCCATTATGATCGTCGTCGTTACCATGATCCTCTGCCTCCACTACCCCTTCTTCCTTCTCATCAACGTTACGAAGAATACCAGAAACAGCAGGTCTCACAGCATACCTGATCGCAAAATCTCTAATACTGACCGTTTAAGATTGGTTCAGAATGATGAAACTATAATACACTAATAATGATAGAATACAATGGATGCCCGAAATAAGTAAAAAATAAGTTACAGTTTAAAACTATTGGTTGTACCTCAAGAATCGCGATACAGAGATGATGAGGTGGTTATGCTCATGAAGGACGATTGGTGGTGCTGCTTAGGGTGGACAATAGTAAAATTGTGGATCTGAATCCGTTTGTACCGTGCCTACTTTAGAGCGTCAACAAATGAGAGCGAGCTCGCACGGCCAAACCAGTAAAATCCTCCAGTGAACCAAGCAAGCGGTTGAGTGACGATCGGTCAGTCAGGTGAAATGCACCACAATCACTCTATGGCGATCAAGAGATTCAGTCAGCATCACATAGTGCAACGACGGTGCAGATGTCACTTAGCATCGCGTGGCCACAAATTTTCCAGAGTACAAAGATAAACAGGACGTTGAGCAGAAAACGCGGTCAATCTACGAAACCACCGCACATTGAAGTGAACGAGGTCGGAATTAACAAAAGGGTAATGGAATGTATCAAGTTGTGTTAATGTGGTCCCTTTAAATGAGAATCGGGTCAGGTCTTGGTAAAAGTACAATCACACGATGAAACAATCATTTGAAACGAAGCAATTGAATCTCCTTCGAAGCTGTGTAGTGGAAAGAAAGGCAACATTCAATGAGCAGCTGTCTCCATCAGATTGGACTAAAGTCAAGAAACAAAACTTGTAGTATGAAAAGTTGCAGTTGCAATTCTGACTAACGTTCGCCAGTGTGGTGCCGAAAAAACTGCGTTGGTAATGGTGACTTCAAACGCCAATTGTATCAGGAACAGTAAATGAACGAGAGTAAGCGAAAACTCGATGTTAACGGATGCAAATCGAGCAGACGGGCGTGTTGCACAACTCAAACGTCGGCGGTCGTCGCAAGGGAGTTTGTTAAAGCTCTAGTTATAACAAGCGAGGTGGACAGTATCGGTCATCGAGGGAACAGTGCGTGACAAATGTAGAAACGGTATCAGGCATGCTATCTGCGGGTCCCGCTAGTTGGCTGCGCAACAATAAAACAATAGCCATTATCTGGATCAAAAGACAGACGTTCAATTCGAGTAAGAGGAGGAAACTGTTGCGAGGAAACAGAGAACGGTAGACGGCACTGACCGGACTACAATAGGTGCTTCAGTGCTTAATGATAGGAATGTTCGGACATGGGATGTGAGCGTCACGGTAAAAGTATCTCTGAGTACATTGCACATGACATGAGATAAAGTCGGTGGAGTAAAAGACCACTTCAGTTTAGTCAGGGGATTGAACTCTGGTAGTCAGCGTATCAACTACGGTTGAAAAATGTGTTGTTAACGAAAACCAGTAAGGATAAAGAAGCGATCTCTTGTTGGCTGAAACGAAGAGGAGCGAAAAACAAAAATGACGGAAATACAGCCGCTTCATCCACCGGAAAAAAGAAGCAAAGATCACGGCACGCGGGTCGTAGATGTCACTTGAAAAAGTCACCTGCCTGGCGATCACGGAAGAACGATTCAATAGACAAGATTAGCAAACGCATATAACCGCCCTGACGATACCACCCCGTATGCTGGCGAAACGTATGCAACCATTTAATTGAGCTCAGCGAACCAATCTACAGTTGAAGATTAGAAACAGATGGTATGCAGTTTATAAAATGCTAATTCGATCCAGAAGCCAACGAGATAAATAAAAACCCACGTAGAAGGCCCTGCGTGCAGGCTGGCTCTCTATTTGGCCCACAAAGTAATCATAAGTAGGTTAAGCACACGAAATTGTAAGTACATTGGGGTTTCTTCAAACAATATAACACATCATATATATATAAATACATATATATGCATATATATATATATATCTGGTTGGCAGTATCCCGTTTCGGATTTGCCTGTCACTGTGGCCAGCCACAGGACGCCTGCGCCTACTAAGGGACCATGGGTGGTTTGTGCTGCACCACCCACAGCTCCAACCACACACCCCATATCTAGTGTAAACCCGAAGGAATAAGACCGGAAGGCATGCGGATGGGAGCCACGTTTCATCAACGGAGCCGCCCACACTCCTTCACAGGCAACCACAAGCACACTGTATTTGGGAAAACAAGCGCACACAAGGCGGTGGCTAGACCGTAGTCCGTTCCAAACACAGTGCAAGGAACCATTCTTCGAGACTAGCACGGCCAAAGCGACTGTGCACCCCGTCCCCTCCAGCAACGACCAACTGTCTCCCGAAACCAGTATGAACGAGGTAGTGGGTAATAGACAGGTAGGCACCTTGTCAACATGCACATCAAGCGCAGCCACACCGGGGATATCAAGCGACAGCAAATCACTGAAGAGAAAGATAACGAATAAAATAACTCGAGTAATGCATAAGGGAACGGGGACATGAATCTTAAATTAATGAGCATGTGAAATAAGTTGTTTGCAAACGAATCCGAGATAAGTTCACGAAGTCAGAAAGTATATGTACGGAAATGACGCAAACACGAAAATGTTGTCGAAATTAACTACAATTGGCTTAAGTGACGCCACAAGGACCGTGCACCTCGTCCCCTCCAGCAACGACCAGCTGTCTCCTGAAACCAATTTGGACGAGGTAGTGGGTAATAGACAGGTAGGCACCTTGTCAACATGCACATTAAGCGCAGCCACACCGGGGATATCAAGCAACAGCCAACGACGATATGAAATAAAATAAATCGAATAATGCATACAGATATGGTGAGTAACTCTTCACCAAATGATCGTATAAAATAAATTAGTTACGAACAAAACCGCGGTAAGTTAAAGAGGTCAGAAAATATATTTTAAGAAAATGTCATAAATGCGAAAATGTTATCGAAACTAAGTACGATTAGCTTTAGCGACGTGTGCAAGTTTATAGAAGACAGTTCAGGTTGACATGAATGAGATAAAAATGCATTAGGACAATATAGCAAAACCCACCACCTGAAATACAGAAACCCAGCAAGCAAGAAAGCGGTTAGTAAATCGAATGCAGCGTATCTACAAATGCTGCGTCAGTTCTGCCTACGTTCTCTGCAGGACCCCTTGTCGCTTCGGTGGTGGCCCCAAGTGTCCTCGCTCACGGTTAACTAGGCCTGCCTGACTCAAGCACTCGCGACCGCATGTGCTACAGCAACATGCGCTCAATGTCGATGGAGTGCAACCCATCGGCGCCGGTCGCTTCCGCAATTGCCACTATTTCTCTGTATGCATACATATAACGGCACCATAGCTGGCGTTTCTCATCAACTGACGTGTGACGATGACGGTGCATAAAAGTTTCAGGAAGGCAGACACCTTATCAGAAAGAAAGCAAACAAAATGAGCTCTCTAACCGGATTCGTGGGAAACCACACTGCAATCAATACGAGTCGCAAATGAGTATTATAGTTTGGTGATCAGAAGGCGGTAACAAACAAACGTCAAGCTTTGCTTACTATCAACCTGGAGACAAGGAAATCCGGTTCTCCAAATACGCGATTAAGCAACCACGAGAAAGTAGGCAGTTGTCTCTAGGTTTCGGATAGGTAGGATCAAACATGAAGTGTCACCGGTGTGCATGCCGATGGAGGTCAGGCAATCATATAGTGCGGTGCTTTAGTTAGCAGCTCCGTGAATAAGTGATATGAAAAAGTAGTTCCTTTCTTGAGTTCTCTGTAGACAGCTTCCATAATGTGGAGGCGAGATAGGCAATCGTGGTAGTATGGTGCCTGCCATTTCGGTTGGCAAATAATCAAATCGCTGCACTAGGAGTTGTACTATTATGGAGCGTGATAAAACCCTGAGTGGAACCGAGGTGGGAGAGGTGACATAAATAGCAGAGGCGCCCAAAGGCCGGCATAAACAGATTAATTTGACGTACAGGTATTTCTGCTTCAGGAATAAGTCGTGAGTTCGAGAGAAGCCAATTAGTAAGCGCACAGTGCAACCGAGTGGTTGAAAAAGAGGATTCAACTTGCGCTAACAAGCTTTCATGCTACAAATTGGCTATGGACGAGAGAGAGAGAATCAAACCGAGACCAACTTCGAAATAAGCGCCTTCATTCATCCTACGAAGTCAACACTTAACCTCCCCTCGTCGTCTTCCATCCACACCCCGGCGCGAAAAGAACGCATGCCGCGGGAGTCGGTATGCTGGCATGCGTAACATGTGGCCCAGACATGAGATCTTGATGTGTGAGCTAATGGTGCTGAGTGGGTATACACTAATAGTAAGCATAAGAGGTATTTCAGTAGACCCAGCATAAGAAAGTGACCAGTGGCGCCCTTGATCTCCTTCTCTTAGCCCTGGCCTCTAGGTACTCTATCCAACCAGTTTATTTCCATTTCATTCTACTTAAAGTTCAATTGTTCTCTTCAATTTTATTATTATTATTAATGGTGTTATTATTTGGGTGATGCCAGTCTAGGTAACTGAATCCGGTGCACCTGTAGTGCATAACCTTTTTCCGATACATTGAACCAAACTGTATGTGACAGCGAAATGAATGAGAGCTGTAACCAGGCAAAACTTACCTTATAGTCAAGGAGGGAAAATCGCGGATCGATCTTTTGGAGTTTGCGATCAAAGAAGTAAGGTAACACGAGCATCGTGGGGAAAGGCATTGGCGCATCCTCAGCAGAAATCTACATAAACGAAGTGAACAGGGTGATTGGTAAAAATCCTCTTACCTTTAGATTCGTGAACAAACGGCTGCGTGGTAACGAAGATCCCAGCTTCGTCATCAAGTGATTCAGTAGGAGAGTTAAGGGAGCCGCAAATGGAGGATCACAAAAGATAAGACTCGTTGACTGAGCATGCTGCTCCAGGCAGAAACGTTTAAATTGGAACTCATCAGGTTCAGTGAAGAAAAAGCCATTTATCATGTTGAACCTTGAAAACCGCTGGGAATCTCCGAAGTATCTCTGGAGAGGATTAGTGGGAAGAGGCAAAATGTGTGTACCAGCCTGACATCCATATCCAACAGATAGGAATCCATGGGCTGACTTTTATAGGAACGCTGAAGTTGAATAAATTCGTGCAAGCGTGGAGTGCCCACACAAACAAGCAGCTGGACACCCAATTGCTGTAGTATGGAGTATATGTGATTCAATGAGTCTAAAGAGAATAAATACTGCTAAAAAAATAAGAGATTAGGGAGAAATAAGGATCTTACAGCATTTGCTTTAGCATCCGTAAGTGGTCTGAGTAGATATGAGGGCATACGTAGTAATTGGTCAGTAATGTGAAGCTGGCATGTGTGTTCCGCGTGAGTGATTGCAGAATCGGAGAGGATGAAGAGACAATCGCAGTCTGAGCAGTAACCTCGACGCGCGGGGTCCACAGAGAGCAGTTTGTCTACCAGCCATCGCCCCCCATCGTTTGATGCCGCCTCCAGAGCATCCCGAGCACAATCACCTTTCCTTCGAAAAGCTGAACAAACGTAACGCAGTTTGCGTCCGTCGATAGATATCATCGGCCCATGAGGGCAGAGAGGGCATGATGAATCGAACTGGTGCGGTGAGAAGCGGTCCTTCATGTGACTGCAAAACAACCGATGATGGTAGATCACAGATGAGGATATTCAACATTGACGCGTATCGTCCGATGCTGCAAATCTGAACGGCGCACTATGAAGTACTGCTGTTCGAATCACCACAAAGAATAGAATGGATCTAAAAATAGGCACGACGTAAGGATAGGTTGAATACGAACTAAGTGGATAATGAACAGTGCAAACAACGGGTATTAATAGGCACCTTAAGTCGTTCTCAGCCTCACCAACGCTAATAACACCCGGGTATCAGTTATGAATGCATCGCCACCATGCAGTAACACAACAAACGATAGATCCCATGAGGAGGACAAACGAGCGAAGGAAGTAATGTCATGCGGGTATTAGGTGGCGATGACACAAAGACAGCTAGTAGCCGCTGCGAGTCAAAAATAAACTTGCTCACATGTTGGGCTATGGAAGTGCCTGATTTGAGAAACAGGGATATGCGAATTTTATCTGAGAAGGAATGTGTACTCGCCAAGTACTCAATCGGTACATGGCAGGAAGGTTATTAATTGAATCCGAAGGGCAATCAATCTAGTACATTAGAAAGTGTGGCTAGTCCGTATGAAACAGGTAACAACAAGAATGCCATGAATGTAGATTAGAGACCAGTTACTTAGGAGTTAAGAAACATCAATCAGGATGTGGTTTCTCTGGACGCATAGGTTTAGCTTTGTCAATCTTGTTAGGTGATCAACATCGAACACCAATTTGATAAAAGGACCGTTTTAGAGATCATGTAGAAAGTGTCATCTCAACAGAACCATCAGTTTAGAACGCGATTACGTGCTACCGCAGAAGCGGCATGCATAATTGACAAAATCAATCAGGACAGTTCAAGGTAAGATCAGGCAGAATGAAAAGGTACATACAGGAAGTGAGTCCAGATTTCGAAATGGATGAACAAGTTGAGGAAAATGCCAAAATTGACCAATTTAGAGCTCTGGTTCGGATGCTGGGTAAGTTATGTCAAAGAGCAACACAATGAACATGTCGCTAATTTTTGTTCAACCATACGAAGTTGGCTAAAACGTTGGAACATGGGTTCACATCCTCGAAGAGGCCAAAAATCAGTTGCCGTCGCCGAAATATAAGTAGGTACATGGGTACGATCGAAAACTGGTAGTAGGTAAAGAAGATGTCAACACATAATTCGATGGATTAGTATTGCACGACAAGAAGAGATGGCGTCCAAATAAAGGTGGATATCGGCAGATATCTAGTGTTCCAACAAAGATCTACACATGTGCAGATAAATAAAAAAATACGCCATAAAACGACTACAGAATCAAAAAGCTGACGGTGTCTGGTACAGGAGTTCATCCGAGTTGCCTCATCCAAAACTTAATCAAAGACGCGTTCGGTCCACCGATACTGCGAGTTGCTTAGTCGTTATCAAAACACGCAGGAGGGAAAGTACGCCTAAGAAGGATCCGTATTGAAGTACATCGTTTAGGTTCATACGTTCATCTAAGGAAATAACCCAGTCGACAAGCCTATATAGTGTTCAGTACCTGGTTGACGGCATCCAGTTTCGGATTTGCCTGTCACCTTGGCCAGCCACAAGACGCCTGCGCCTACAGAGGGAGCATCGATGGCTTTTGCTGCATCACCCACAGCTCCAAGCACACACCCACATCTAGTGTAAATCCGAAGGAATAAGACCAGAAGGCATGCGGATGGGAGCCACGTTTCATCAACGGAGCCGGCCCACACTCCTTCACAGGCAAACACAACCACGCTGTATTTGGGGAATCAAGTGCACACAAGGCGGTGGCTGGACCGTAGTCCGCTCCACACTGAGTGCATAGAACCACTCTTCGAGCCTAGTACGGCCACAAGTACTGTGCACCCCGTCTCCTCCAGCAACGACCAGCTGTCTCCTAGAGCCAGATGGATGAGGTAGCGGGTAATAGACAGTTAGGCATTTTGTCAACATGCACAACAAGCGCAGCCACACCGCATAGGCGAGATTACAAAAAGAGCACGTCTGTCTTCTCGACGCCTGTTAACCTTGCACGAGCCATGAAGCCTGACAGCACAAGGGCGACTCTTGATGGGAATCCATTCGAGAATGGCGGCTGCAGCTCTGGCACTAAGGGCGACCCCAACACCAGCTTGACCAGAAGCGGTAGCCTCGGCGTCCCCAGAAAGTCGAAGGTGAAAACGGATATAAGGGTGAATTGGTGTGCACACTGAACGCCAACAAGTTGGACTGTGTGTTCGGTTGCAGAAGCGGAGAGGTGAGAATTCGGGACTGTTCAGTCCCGCTTTGGCGCTGTGTGATTATGTCAGACGATGAAGCGGCAGTGATATCGGAGGAAGAAATGCCGCTCGTCATTGATTGAGCAAACAAAAACAGGGAAGAATGATACAGGGGAACAGTAGATAAGCGAGTGGCGTGTGATGGAAGTGTTTGTAGTAGTATTATGAGAGCAAAGCATAAGTAAAGCGAAGAGTGCAGTTCAGTTCCATGGTTCGTCAGTAAGCGAGATACTACCCGATTGCCTAGGCCGAAGAAGGGGTTGTCTTAGCGGGCTGCCACCCCGACCCTTTGAGTCAATAGCCTACCCGCAAGGCAGCGGGGCGAATTCAGGGTATCACGCCCATTGGGAACCGGTGACCGACTACTCGGTTCATATGCCTTCCGTTTGGTCATGTACCAAACAGGGGCCAATACTCCCCACGATGACAGCATCAGGCAGCTGGAATACAATGCTCCATTGGAGTGAAGCAAAGGGCAATGACTTTATATAGTGACGAGTCACATCCGCCAAGTCGCCGCGTTGCTAAACGGACATATGTGGCTTTTTATACGGAGAACGTTTGCTGGGCGAAAACCAAATACGCACTGGAACACTTCCTCGGAAAACGTCGCAGGAATCAGAAAATCCCGAACCATCCAGCTGGCGCCGAGAGGAGGTTGTCTGGTAAGCCAGCTATATAAGCATATCCGGTGTAAACCCGAAGCAATAAAACCGGGAGCCATGTGGATGGGAGACACGTTTCATCAACGGAGCGGGCCCGCACTCCTTCACAGGCAAATACAAGCACGTTGTATTTGGGAATCAAACGCACACAAGGCGGTCGCTGGACTGTGGTCGGCTCCACACCGAAAGCATGGAACCACACCACGAACCTAGCACGGCCACAAGAACCGTGCACGCCGTCCCCTCCAGCAACGACCAACTGTCTCCCGAAACCAGTATGGACGAGATAGTGGGTAATAGACAGGTAGACACCTTGTCAACATGCACATCAAGCGCACCCAAACCGGGGATGTTCAGCAACAGCCTTTCACATGGAGTAAAATGTCGAATAAAATAGATCGAATACAACGTACGGATATGCCGCTAAATTAGCATATGAAATAAATGGATAATCAAAACAGCCGTGACAGATTCAGGATGGCAGAAAAACGGATCAAGACCCATATGTAAGGAGATGAAAATAAACGAAGTTAACCACCTTTAGTTTAAGCGAAATGTGCAATGTAACAAATTATTCAGGTACACATTAAAATGAAGCAACAAAATAACACTAAGGTAGTAAACCAACCACCATAAAAAAGGAAACTCAGCATGCAAGCAAGTGGTTAGTAAATCGAATGCAGCGTACCTACAAACGCTGCGCCGGTTCTGCCTACGTTCTCAGCAAGACTAGTCGTCGTTTCGATGCTGGCCGCGAATGACCTCGCTTGTCGCTCACTAAACCTGCCTGACTCAAGCATTTGCGACAGCACGCACTACAGAACCATGCGCTTGACGTCGATGGAGTACAGCCCATCGGCGTCTGTCGCTTCCGCAACTGCCGCTTCTACAATGCATGCATGAGGTCTTTCTCCCGCACTTCGGCAACTGCCATCGTGATTAGATCGCGCCATGCATGCCGAGCAACCGCCTTTGATTCCCATGACCTGCAATCAACATTAGAACGTGATAGCCTCACTTTGATCATGTCCTGGTAACGTAAATTCGGTACTCCGACCTGTCGTTTCCCCGAACTCAGCCATAAAGCAACTGTTTCGGTATCCGGGTCGAATCCATGCGGTGATTATGTCCGAGGCACCACAGCTGCCTCAGCAAAATTATGCAGTCCACTGCATACATGTCACTGCGTCGAAGCACCTCCGTGTCTGCAAATCGGCAACTTCAAACGATGCTCATAATAGGGCAGAGACACTGCTGATGGAAACACTACAGATATCGAACATCCTTCCGACAAAGCGTCCAGGTTTCGCTGCCGTAAAGAAGAACGGAAAGCATCACAGATTTAGATACTAGCAGCTTCGTCCCAACAGTGAGCTGGTGGTTGTTCCAAACACGGCATTCCAGCTCGCCAAAAGCAGCAGCCACCTTCGACACGCGCCAGCGCAGCTCGCACGTCATGTGCTGGTCGGTTGTTATAACGCTAGCAAGGTAGCAAAATCTCGAAGTGATTTCCAACACTTCCACGGCAATCTGGATTTCGGACAGGCCCACGGACTCCGTTCCCGTTGAAGCCTGGAAAAGACAAACAGTCTTGCGTGTGTTGATGGTGAGTCCGAATTTGGCCGCTGTCGAAGCCAGAGCAATAGTCATATGCTGCAACTCATCCGCGCTGTGTGCAAACAAAGCACAGTCGTCAGCAAACAGCAACATACGGATAGTTGTCTCACAGACTAGAGTTCTCGCACCGAAACGACGGATGTTCAGCAACCCACCATAAATACGGCGCTCCACACGAACACCGTAAGCACAAGCGGCATCAAAAACACAAGACACCACGGCATGAAGATATATATTAAACAGGGCAGGAATTATGACACAGCCTTGCTTCACACCAGTGACAACTGCAAAATCATCCGAGGTCTTTCCACTCAGCTGCACGCTCGGCCGCATACCACTGTACACACCTTCAATTAAACTTACAAACTTACGCGGGCAACCAAACTTACCCAACACCAGCCACAATGCCTCGCGGTTCACCGTATCAAATGCCTTGGTGAAATCAACAAACAACGAGTACAACGGTTGATGTCGTTCTCTGCACTTCTCCTGCAACTAACGAGCCGAAAACACCATAACAATAGCGCTGCGACCCGAACGGAATCCACCCTGCTCTTCCGACACATCA